TCCCTCATTCCAGGTATACATGAATGACTTGTTCGTGATGAGGTTATGAATACCAAGACAATAGGTCCATAGCTGTCTTATGTAGTAAGCTACCCCTGTGGAAATGACTGGTGTCAGCAGAGTTTTCATAAGATCGAATGCTATAACTGCATATTCTTCCTTGTTAAGTTTCGAGTCCAATTGCATCCCAGTTCTAGCTGATTCAGCTTTTCGGTGATGTAAATCTCTTTCGCTCGTAATCCTTTCCTTTTCAGAAGGATCCCTGCGGCTTCGATTTTTACTTTAAAAGAATCACATTTTTTGCAGCTGTCGGAAATCGGAGCTCGAAAATGCAAATTAAAGTTTTCTGAAAAGATTTTGGTGAAAACGAATTTAGATACAACTTTGTCCATTTCTACAGTTCCACGATACAGCTCGTACATAATCGATATGTTTAAGGTAGCTGCGAGAAATTCTCTTTGAATATTCTTATTTCTTGAATAGTGGGAGCTATACCACGGAAATTTATTGATAAATTCTTTCACGATTACTGTAGCTTCAACGCTGGTCTTATTATGAGGTGGGTGTCTTCCTCTTTGGTCCAATTTTGGTGTAGTTATGCCACTTCCAGGTGCTCTATGCTTAAGTGCACGTGTAATACGACCATCGCTTATTTGTAAGATCTGCTTAAAATATCTTTTGCAGACATGCATTCCGACATTATTTACTCCAGGAAGTTTGAAAATTCTTGTACTAGATCTTCGGCTTTCGCCAATAGACTTCTTATAAGATCTTCTTGTTTTAATTACTGCAATTTGTCGACATAAATAAGCATTTTGCAAGTCATGATCACCAATTTTATACAAATTTTCACAAATACTTCGCAAATTATTCTCACTGAAATGCTGATGACATTTTAACGGACATCGACATTCAAGTGCATTAAGTGTTTTAGCTGGCTTCATAACTCCTTTCACAGTTTTATAAGATTTTCCGGAATTTCTCTGAACTTAACTTACGTCTTTTTTCAGTTAGATTTGTTGGCAACCCGTTTTCCAGTAGATATTTTCAAGTCATTGCTGCTTTCAACTTCAATATCTGGTTCAGCTGACCTGCTTTCATTTTCTGTTATTCCGATCTGGGATTCTGTTGCCGCAAGTCCCGATGGCCCAGGCAATGTATCTTCTGAAGAGCGCGATGAAATTGATGACCCACTTGGTGTTGGGACGTACTCCGATCCAGAATTTTCGAAGTCTTGTAAACTCATCGAGTCAGCATCAGACATGTTTATTCATGTACTATTTTTTTTTTCTTGTTAATACATTTTCAATTAAAAAAACTGATAACAAGGCGAACTTATACCAGGTGGTGTCAGTAGGGCAAAAACAAAACAAACATGTACAATGTTTTAGCTTTATGCGGCTAGAACTGCCCAACAAACACAACAATTTGACACATGATGCCGTGAGACGAAAACAACAATATTCAATTAAAAAATTTGAGCACCCATGGCTTACTTGATTTATTTTTCGAATATACTCTTGACTAAAACGGAACATGCGTTTTTGGCCTAACCCACACATATTTTTTATTTATAGGATTCGATTTGGCCTAAGCGGCTTAGGCCATTATGGCATCCACATTTTTTTTAACTTTGCATAGAGGAAAAACAGTTTTCAGCAGGTAGTATAACCTAGTGTTATACTATGCAGTAGGGAGTTTTTTTTAGTATTTATTTCAAAAGGTTCCGGTTAGATCAGCATAGTCAGTTTGATTTTTTTGAAAATGTGGATTGGGCCATTTTGGCGCTGAGCGCCTCATATATAGATACATGAACTTCACTACCTACTTGTTTTTGTTAGTACCTGATTCTTTTAGTGCTGGTATGAGGTAACGCACCAGTGGATAAGGTCGCCAGGCGTTAATTCAAGTGGCATCTTACCGCGCTGTTACGTACCTAATACAAAACAGTGCCCAAATTATTATACATTTAAAAGTTCAGCTTAAATTATGTGTTACTGACATAGAATATTTGCTTCCAAAAAAGCCACACTCATGCATTCTCTCGGAAATGGTACAAAAGTTATCGAATAAAAGCTGTGGAGTCAACAGCTGTGGAGTTTATGGTGGTTGCCTACCGTCCACAAATATAAATATGCACTCTGCATGGCTTTTTAAAATGGCAAGTCCAAAAATTCACTTTGCTGCACACCTTCCTTTTGGTCTACATTAAATTGCAAACACTGTTAATACATCCATTTGTTCATGTGCTAAAAATCGTACTTACCTAAGGAGCTACATGTCCAAAATTATTGCTACGTGGTCCTAATTAATCAATCTTTGTATATTTATTGATTCCTGCGAAATTGGGCCTTGTAATATTAAAATTAAGACATTTTTCTGCATTGTGTACAAATTTTTATATGCGTTTTGGCATTTCTCTCTCGCAATTGCACCAACATGACGTCACGCAAAAATTACGTTCTAAAATCCTCTCTCATTGGCGCGATCTTGTATTCTATCATTCTTGATGGGAAACAACATTTCCTATCGCTGCAAAATATGCAACATCGAAACCCATGTATATATTTTGCAAAATAGCATAGCAAGATAATAGCGACCCTTCGCTAGTTGTTTTGTTGTTGGAATTGCTACATATTTCTCTCATTCCTCTCATCTCGCTCACTTAATTTTTTTGCTGTCTCTTGTTATTGTATTTGATAAATAATTTCGCTGCTTGCTCCCCATGCAGGCTACCACTTTGCAATGGGGTGCTCTCGTACTCTTCGATATTTGGAATAGTATTTTTGCATTTCGTGCAATCCGTGCATCGTGCAAGACTTCGAGAATACCCCTAATGTGTTTTTTGGCGTAGTTTCGCCTAATGAATATAGTCTCCCTTCACAAAATTTGAAAATTGCCTCTACACCACGACACATTGGACAAGTAATTGAACCCGAGAAAACACAGCAAGCTGTGCATATTTCCTTGTTGGTTTTGGAATCCATATACGTAAACAAAGTTGGAAATTTTAGAGAAAAATGTAAACTTAAATGACAGTTTAAAGGCGAAATTCTCGACAAAGGTAAAATCAGCTGCTCTACTGCGGTTACCTGTTAAATATGCTTTGCGCAACACAGAATATGCAACGTCAAATGCGTTGGAAAAAACCTTCGAAAAGCTAAATACTAGTAAAATTTCTCTCAAAATTGTATCAACAATCACTAACGTCTAATTTCAATTCATACTCACATACCAGCAAAATTATAACTTCAGAAACCATCTACATATCGCATGTTTAATAGTATAGAGATGTAATTCAAAATTTATGTTTTTGGAGATTTCAACACACAATTAATAAGCTTCCTAAGTAGAATAAGCTCAGCTTAACAGATGACTAAACTTCCCAAAAATGGCGGAAATATGTGTATTTCCATCTGTCTTTTGGTATATAAATTATATGAATTGATTACGTTTTCCCAGAAAATTTAAATTTTGAAATAATTCTGTATATTATTAAACATGCGATATGTGCTTCTCGATTCGAATCACCACCGTCCAGATTTAAAAATAAAAGCTGGCATATCATTTACATGAGCTATTAATGCGCAAAATACCGCAAACGGGACATTAAAAGAAATACAGAACATTTGGCGTGCCGTATGAAATAAATAAATTACCAGAACAATTGACGAAAAGACGACTCTCCCGTATAATACAGGACGGATGGTCACCGTACATATGAATATGGTAATATCCCTTTTCCCTTACAGTAAACCTTTTAGTGTGGGCAACAATGATATTTTTCAAATAAGGCAAAGCGGAATAAGCACTCTCTGAGAAGACAATACCTGGAATATTTGTACCATGATTTCTTTCCAGTCATGATCAGTGTTGCCGCGAAGCCTTTTTAGTGGTAGCCAAATTCCTTTAAAAAAAGGGCTAAAAAAGAGCTAAAAAAAAGTTGTTTACTTACATAATCGTATAAAAGTATACACGCAAATATTTTCAATAAGTAATGGTACCTATAGAAAAACAATGAACTCTGGAAAAAATCTAATATTTTATCCAACCAAAGACCTTTTCGTATAAAAGGGAAAATATACGACACCAGCATGCTGGCTCGATCAAGTGATTGTACCATCAGGCTCGACGCATATAACTTAGCAGCATGCTGGTACAATATTTATTTCTTTGCAAATGAGGTCGAAGAAAGATCGAAATGATTTGAGCCGAAATTTCATAATTTTTCTACCATTTTGTTAAACATTGTTTTTTTTTTTTTAATTCACAACTGCAAATCGTGAACTTAATATTCCACAAACACGGCTCTGAAATTTCCGCCGAAAATATTTTTTACTTAGAAAATTTAGCTAATTTCACCACTCATGCTCATGCTGGTACAATCATAAAATTTTCAAATAGTTTTTGAAGTCGCACCAGCAGCTGGTACAATCACACCACAAGAACATACACGGTCAATCGACTTGATGTGCCATTTAACTAATGAAGCATATTAGGGGCCAGTTTTTCAGTGCACGGCTGTGGTTCAAACTAAGTTTAAACGCCCCACCTTTCTGGTTTAAACTAAGATCAGCCAATCAAGTGGAAGCCAGCTGTTCAATTTAAACCCAGATTACTTAATCTGAGTTTAAACTGGCACTGAAAAACTGGCCCTAAGGGCCGTAAACTTATCTAAAGGTAGCTAAATCTAGCCACCAAAGGGCTAAAACGGCAACACTGGTCATGATAAAAACATTACAAGGTAAAACCGTTGAGAAGTAGTCTGACGTTTTCCAGCATATAATTTTAAAATTCAAAACTTCTTACTCACACACCAATTCTCATTTTGAATCTCAAACAACAACAATTGTGAACAATTTAGTTTTTTTATTTTCAAATTTTATATGATTTTAAAATGCTTGCAAACGTCAGAAAAAATCATGGCAGACGAATCGAGAGAATGATTTTACCTTGTATTGTTTTTATCATGTTTCCAACATTATTTATAACACTTTATATTCGTTTTGGAAATCAAAATATTGTTTATTTATGTACTGTGAGAAACCAATTTTAACAATTGCATATAATTTTAATATTAAAAATATTTCATTTTAAATTTCAAAGTGTTTTAGTTTGTCGGTATAAAAAATTGTTTTTATCTTGCAGTTTCCAGCTGAGTGGGCCAATTTCAATCGCGAATTCGGCTGTCGTAGTGAATCACAGTTTCAGTTGTCAGAATGTTCGGAACATTTAAGCTCTGACCGCCGATAATTTGTCTGTCTAATGGGTAGCCCAAAGGTAATTGATCTAAATCGACGCCCGCGATTCCAAAACCACTGATTTGCTTCGTGTTTACACTCTCTCCCTGCAAGAAGTCATCTTGTTGACTCAGTGGAGTCACTACAACCATTATCTGCACGGGCAAGCCTCCCTTAACAGTAGTTCCACGGGGTAACAGAAGATGTTCGGGCAGCTGACGGATGGTGCCATATTGTTGCTTGCCATATTGTTGTTTATGTCCTGTCATTACATGATGGTAAATCTGACTCATGGTTGAAACGTCGTTGCTGTATCCGTTAAATTCTTGTGAGGAGCGCCGGATTTGGTTATCTCCGCCCTGCAATTTTTGTACAAAAGCATCAATTACAATGAAGTTCTGGCGGTGTTCAGCCAAAGATACACGACGGCCATTGTAATCGATTTGTGGGCCAAGCAAAATGCGAATATCGACTTCTTGGGGACGTTGTGATTGGATGTCGATTGAAATGGTGAAGGGTTCGTAATTCAAACGCTGCTGACGTGCCACGACCTTCATGCTAAGACGCTCCAGATTGTTGGTGTTTGATTGCAAAATTTGTTGATCGATTAGATTGGCAAGGTCCGCATCGGCAAACTCAGTGTAGGTGACCAAAGGATCGATCAGAACTTTTTGCACAACAATGTCGCCGTCACCACTCAGTTGGTTCTGGGTGTATGGTTGCAATTGCTGACGGTATTCATCGATAAGCTGTGCAAGCGAGAGAATCGTCTGTTGAGTAACGGGACTGTGTAATTTACCGGCCAGCAGGGCGAGCGGAATCACCTCATCTACTTGACCAACTTCAACTTCGGCAATGCGCTTTATTTTTTGCTGCAAATCTTGCAAGATGCGTTGAGCTTCAATCGAAAGTTGCTGCTGTTCGAGAATTATTTTACCATTAATAATACTGGCCACGATGTAGAGAGTTTCTTCACTTGTCTCGCTTATGTTCGCCTCTTGACGCACTTGATCAATGAGCTTTCGTAATTGCTGCGTAATTTGGTCGATTTCCTGCTGCACCTGTAGATATTGCTGTTGCTGGTAACCAGCACCTTCAATATTCTCAACGATTTTCTGCATGTTCAACCTGGCAGCCAACTCCTGTATGGTCTGAAGCAATATTTCACCGCGTCGGGAGTAGCTCAGCTGTTGTGTAACGGCAATATTGCGTACAATTTCACTGCGCAAACCTTCCAATTCGCGGTACTGCTCTGTGTAGTGATAATTTTTATTTTTTCGGTCGACGCTGCGATTTCGCTTGCTACCTTCTCCATGGTTGTGGGTATCGCGCACCTCACGAGATATGACCACATTTTCGTCATCATTATTCATGATCATTTCTTCCACGTTTGCAACATTTTGCTGGTCATAAGGATATGTTTGCTGTTGACTTTGAGTGCCATAACCATATTGATGTCCTTGATGTTTTCGACCGCCGCAAAGGTAAGAAGAACCGTATTTCTGGTCTTTGTTGCCATATTGAGCTCCTTGATTGATTGAATAAGATGAACCATATTTCTGATCGTTGTAACCATACTGGGCTCCCTGCTTTTGATAACGACCGTAAGGGTATTCCTGATTGCTATAACCATATTGATTTTCCTGTTTTCGTTCATGGCCGTAGGGGTAAGATGATCCATATTTTTGTTCATAGTAATCGTATTCAGCGTCTTGGTTTTGTTGCCGGCCATATAATGATGAGCCGTATTCCCGATCATTGTTGCCATATTGATTTTGTTGGCGATAGAACGGGTATACGTTATATGAGTATCCACTGTTAGCGGCGTTCACACGATGTCTACGACCGACACCGAGTAGACGTTCGCTGGTTGCATCAACCTTGGGTAATTCATTGGTGTTTACTACGCTCTGCTTTGGCGAACCTGTTATGTTCCGAATATAAGTAATAAAATTTTGTATTTGCGCATTATTTTAGTTATAAATTATTTATTACCTTCTTGCCTCTCCAAATATTGGCTATATGATTCCTCATCATATATGCTCTGTTGGTCGCGGCGAACCCGAGAAGCTTCTTCATTGGCATTGCTATAACGGCCGGTTTGTCGATCCTCCTGTTGATAATACTGTCCTTTACGGTGGTACGGTTCTTGCTTGTAGTGCGATTCTTGCTGATAGTACGGTCCTTGCTGATAATACGATTCTTGCTTGTAATACGGTCCCTGTTTGTTGTACACTCCTTGCTGATGGTACGATCCCTGCTTATAGTACTGACCTTGCTGGTAGTATGGTCCCTTATTGTAGTACGGTCCCTGCTGATGGTACTGTCCTTTCTGGTAGTAAGGTCCTTGCTTATAGTACTGTCCTTGTTGGTGGTACTGTTGATATTTGCCTATATCACCGATTTGTTGGCCTCCTTCAATTGCTTCGGTAACTGTTTGTGTCAACTGATCGATAATAACATTTTTCAGGGCAACATTAAGGTCAATGTCATTCGTTAAGTCAGTGGCGAGTCCATTTTGTTCACCTACAGGCAATGCAATTTCTACCGGTATTTCATTCCTATCGCCAAAATAGTCAGGGTGACTTTCCCTATAGTTTACACGTTGATTCGAAGACGCAATGACAATATCTTGAGGGTCATATGCGATTTGAATACGTCTTTGTTGCAATGGATTGAACAAACCGTATTTACCACCTTGGAGTAACGAACTTATTTTACCTAGACCAAAGTAATCGAATAAACTAGCTTTTGCATTTGTACGAGTGGCTTGATAAATCAAATTTCTGTAGTCAACATTTTGTGCCGAATTGAGTACATAGTTGTCGTAGTACAGCTGTGGCAAAATCTCGTTCATTGGAGGCATCACAAGATCCTGTGTATCTGGGCGATCACGTATCGCTAGAGACAAGGCGTCCACAAAAATGACGGCGTTGAAATAGAGACGCGCATAAACAACATTTTTTTGGAATACATAGAAATCTCGGGCAAGCACAAAGAAACGTTGAAGTCCTACCAACTGACGGATATTTGAAATGTCGGCTGGGCTGTAGATGTCGTTGCGACCTAAAATTTCCTGATTGCCAGCCTGATTCAAAAACTCCTGCAAAATTTCGTCGTTTGGCTGTACAAAAGAGCTACCTATAGTAATATTTTTATTCTTACGACGCCGAATTGTTAGATACTTACCAACACATACATACTAGGGTCGGTTACGAGCTCCTGACCAAGTTGAATGAGCTGTGTGTTCACCAAGGGCTTCTGAACCTGAAGCAGGACATCGAGTAGGAATTGTTGACGTTCACTCGCACTCCGAGGTGTGTAGCCTTCATCTGAAGATTTAAAGAAGTTATTTATTATCACTTTCACAATGACTCGGTCGTGGTTTCTTACAAAGTGACTTAGCCTGTTGTCCTTGACGTACAGTGCCGAGCAATGAGAGTTTTTGGGTCAAACCCAAACGTCCCGCTGTGGCGCAGCACGCAAGGCAGCTTAGTAGTATGAGAAACGTCTTCATTTTAATTTACAAAAACTTTTGCCAAAGCCCTTGAAGAAGAAATTAACCGCTGTACTCTACCACTCAGTGACGGTAGACAACTGTGCCCAACTCTTACCCAATGTAAGCTTATATAGCCAAAGATGCATTTGCACGTTCGCCTTGCATTATCAATGTCTTGGTCCATTTTATTATCTCCGCGCAGAAAATATGCAATGTTTTTTGGTAATTAATGGCTTTCTTCACTTAACCCTCGAATCGCTTACAATTACAAATCATTGATCTTTCTACTGGTGATCAGTCTTATCACTGCATGCATATATGCATTCGTAAGTACATATGTGCATATGTGCATGGTGCACTGAATGTTTCAGCTGCGCCATATTCGAGTGCAGTGCGATAGGTGAGCAAGTATATATGTATGTTTGTTTGTAAGTCTTTCACCAAGCACAAGATTATCACTATTTGACACTTTTTGACCTCCTACGACGTGCGTGGTTGACGTCCTTTAAATTTGTATGATCTTTGAAGCCCAACTTGCTATTTTTGGTATACTACATACATACTTATACATTCATTTTTATATGCTTGTATATGTATGTACGTGCTTCATTGCACGATTTTTTAATAAAAGGTCTTTGACTCTATGAAGATATAAGAACTCATGGAATACAACACGCTCCTTGTTAAATCTTCTAATATCATCTATGGTGTTTTTGTTTCCTCAAAAAATTATTCCATGGCGCAAAAATATTTGATGTTACACTCAACCTTGTAAAAATTCATGTTTTTGCGTACTTATTTTTGTCTAGCTCACCCATTTCATAATATTGTTTTAATCAACCAGCTGATTTTCAGGGCAACCATCTCCTCTGACAAAGGTTCAAAGGGGACAAAATGTGTTTGTTTTTTTTTCCTCAGTAGGGTGTCACATTTTAACAAATGAATACAAAATTTTCTCACCTTTAGTGCCCTTAGTTTAGAATCGAACAAGAACAAATATACATTGCGAATAGAGAACCCCCTGCTTTTTTTTGAAACGAAACCCCTATTAGCCACATTGCAAATTTTGCCCATTACACAATCCACAATAAGGGAGATCCTGATGTTTGCGCGGTACAGTATGATAAATTTTTGTGGAAAATTCAAGTGATTTTTTAACCGACTTCACAAAAAGGAGAAGGTTATCAATTCGTCGGAATATTTTTGAAGTGAAACTTCTTTAGCGGCGGTTGGTTGGTTGGAAGTAAATTGGCAAATTCAACGGAAATTAAACACGGAAATGGTGCAACAGAAATGGTTGGGGCTGAAACAGGTGCTTATTGTGTGTATGCATATGCTATTAATTTAACAAAAATTTGCTAATAAAAGGTTAAAGAAGAGAAAACGACCAATACAAGAATGAAAGTAAAGGTGACTACGTACATAGATGAAGAAAAGGATAAAGGCAAAAGTAAAAATAAAAACAAAGATGCGTAAAGATAAAGGGAAAAATGAAGACCAAGGTAATTTTAAACACTTTACTTATATATATAAGGGCAAAGGTGAAGGGGAATGTGTAGATTTTTGGCTCTTAAATTAGTCAAAGAGCCAGCAAGTGCTACGCAAGAGGTAAAGCAGTTCTCAGGGTGAAGAGGGTGTTACAAATACATTACAATCATCATACATCACCACTTTCATGATATTCACCGCACAGCAGCTGCGGAAATACTGACAGTCAGCATCCATTGATCGGATTTCGAAAAAAAATTGTGTGGTAGAATCTGGAAAAAAATGTGGTAGATTTCAAAGAAATGTGGTAGATCTCAGGTGCTGAATCAAACTTTGTACAAAAATTTTAAAATTCTGCAAGGTTTCACCTAACATGCAAACATTTTAATTAGAATCTACAAAAAAAAAATTATTTTAGAATAATAAAGTACAAGATTGAAGTTGCTAAAAATTGCGTTGAGTTTTGGCAATTTTTCTCCTTGACAGTGTAAAGCAGTTCCTTCCATAGCAAGATATTTTTCAAACAAATTTTAAGAGATTTCTGCAAGCCTACGGAGTGCTGCTCGGTTTTCTTTTTATCACATCACGATGTAGAAACCGCTACTTGGGATTTACCGGTTTTGACAATTCTCAAGTAAAATTAAACAACGCCTTAGAAACTTTGGATGCACTGAAATTTGCTAATACATTCACAAAAATCGCTTTTTTTAACATTTTCGCTATTAATTATTTTTACAAATCATATATTTTGCAATTTAACACAATATAACCACGTTTCCAGTCGAAAAATTTATTATTGAGCAAATTTACTATTTTACAGTTTATTTTATCCTCCCATTCGGCTTTGCTGTAAGTGTATAGTGTTGGGAAATTTCTGCTCTTAAAATTAAGAAAACTATGTCCAACAAAAATGAAACTACTCAAAAACGCGAATATGTGGTAGATTTCAGACCTTTTGTGGTAGATGTGGTAGATGCTCAAAAAGTGGCAGATCTACCACAATGTGGTAGAAGTCCGATCACTGTCAGCATCTCTCAAAAACTAAAATAATTATCATATATACATGAGCAGTGTGACCGTTTTGATCCAAGTGGATCAAAACTGATACATTTTTCGATGAATTTTGGGGAGATACTTTTTTTTCAATTTGGACACTTTTCCAAATACAAATGAAAAAAATCTTTAAATTTGTATGCATTACAAAACATGTCGTGCACCTGTGGTAACGTACATCCAAAAGTTCATTGTCGTTCTCTGAACGAACCTTTCATGTACAAGAGAGCACAGAATGCGAAAAAGGTTTAAAAATTGACAGACACTTTAATTACCGGTTATAAAATTTATGTTACCAGCGACTCTCAACTCTCATATAAAAAAAATATATATATATATATATATCTCATGATCCACTGATCGGATCATAACCGGATTAGTATGGGAGAGACACTACCTTTCCGATGTAAAAAGAATTATCGAAATCGGTTGACGTGGTCCAAAGTTATGCGGAAAAAAAAATATTCCGACGAACTGATAACCTCCTCCTTTTTTGGAAGTCGGTTAAAAAAGTGATACATATTGATACATTTTAAGGGCCAATTTTACAATGCGTAGTTAACTCAGAATCGGCAGTTAACTACAGATTTTTGTACTGAAAATCTCTAGTTAACTGCCGATTCTGAGTTAACTACGCACTGTGAAATTGGCCCTAAGTCTCTTTTCTGCAACAATTTTTCACAAGCCCGCGGTCACACTGTACATGAGCCGTGCTAAAAGTGAGCAAGTGTTAAAGCTCAAACAGTCAACGACGTAACGTAGACGTATGTTGACGCAGGCACGATCTACCTTATGGGATTCGCGTGTTAACGAAAACTCACCACCGCATGGCGGTGACGTTGCCGTTGCTTCTCTCTCTCTCTA